GAGAAAACACTTCATACAGTGATTATTGGACCTTTAAAGAGTATTCTTAGGAAGTTTCAGCTGAATCCAAGTTTGAGCGATTTTCGTCGTAGTAGCACTTTAAGGAAATATATGAAACACGTGTGCATGGGTGTCTGTACTGAGAGAAGGCATGAGAGAAGCAAGCTTAGGAGCCAATGGCTTCTCTTGATTTTTAAGTGCTATACAGGTCCAAGAGTGTTTATATCAAAGTACTGAGACATAAGTATCCATTTTATATTGCTTTTATAAAATATCTTTGAATGATTTTGTATGAGCATGTCTCTGTCCTCTTATATAAACGAAGTAGCCAGCCAATCAGTGCATGCATTGTTAATCTCAAATATTTTATCCAGCCAATCAGCTCAAGGGTTGTATTTTAAATTTGAAAGTAGAACATAAGACTTAAATAAGAGAAAATTCTGTATCACTGTAATACACATGTACAGAGAAGTGACTTCTGATGTTGGCTATCTTCTCAAACATTGGGTAGCCATTAACAATTAATTCTTATTGGTCGCTTAAATGTCATAAATCCATTAAAGTTAGGGGCGGATCCAGAAATCTGAGAAAGGAGTTGGGGGATTTGAGATTAGACTATATGCAAAACAAAAACAGAGGAGATCAATGGGACATGATCCCATGCAAGGAAATTCTAAAAATATGATTTCCAGAAATTTTTTTCTGCATTCTGGGGATATTTGGGACAAAAAAAGGATAAAAAAATGAATCTTACAGTAAACTAAAAGGGAGGGATGTATTATCTGATAAAAAACCTACATATACTGTTATACGTTTATCATGTTCAGTTCACATGCTATAAGTGTGGATGAATGATTTTGGCCAATTAGAAACAAGATACATGTTATGCTATGTGAAAAGATTTATTTTATTATTATTATTATWATAATTATTATAATTATTATTATCATTATTACTGAAATATTACTTTACAACAGACTTTGGGGTGACCATGGACAATTGGCTCTTGAAAAGGCAAAAATTTGTCTAATCAATGCTTCTGCAACAGGAACAGAAATACTAAAGAACTTAATTTTACCAGGTAGGAATAACTTTGCAAAGAACTCCATTCGAAACTGAGATCCTGGAATATCAGGTAGTCTTTTCCAGGCCGGGTACTTCTAGGATGTTTTTTTTTGTGCTTTAAGTTTTAAGACACAATATTTTTTTAGGAATGGGGTCGTTCACAATTATTGATGGTAATAAAGTGTCAGGAGAAAATATCGGCAACAAGTAAGCAGAATTTGACTTAAGTAAAATACCTGTTTACTGATGCAGTAGCCATCTTGCATCATGGGATGCAGAGGGGGCAAATAAAGAAAAGTAATAACATAGAGAATTCAATTGCTCTTTTTGGTGTGCTCAGTGAAAACCACAAAGTTATATAAAAATATGCCCTGACAGGTGTCTAGTCTATAGATTTTCCAATAGTTGCCCCCTCTGCATCCCATAATTCCACAGTTAAGACAAAAGAAATCAAGATGGCCGCTGTAAAAAGATCTATTCTGGTATTACATCATCTCTTGTAACAGAGGCCCACATGTTTAAGAGTTTTAGCGATTACTGAGTGTCTCCCTCTTAAAGTGAAGCTTTATTACTGTACTTTACTTATACTTATATTGTTGCTCTTTCAGTTTTTTCTTAGAAAAAGACAGTTTAGGAAAGGTAATACTATTGTTGATCTCTAGCTACAGTATAGTTTCAAAAAATGTGTTCTAAATAGACCTTTCTTGAGTGCATACCATGAAACAGTGGCTTTAAGTTGGACTTACAGAGTAATGTCTTGATACATTGTATCAGCATTTTATCCAGCTTTGACTTAATTAGAACAACTCAATATTTTTGTAGTCACTCTAATTTTGGAAAGATTTACTGAATGGTGACAGGCCTCAAAGCCTGGAGCTGTTTTTAGGATAGCAAAGGTGGCGTATGCTGCTAACATGTCATCTTTCACTGCTGTGAGTCCAATGGGTTGGGGTGCTAGTTTGAGCCTTGTGGTCGCCAAATGTGAATTGAGTTTGTTTGATGTGTTGTTCTCTCCTTTCCTATGAGGGTTTTCTCCAAGTTGTCCGGTTTCCTTCCTCCGTAAAAATAAACATTTGAGTCAAGCGTTGCATGCATAGAACATTGAATTGAATGTAGTGGTAGTGGTAGTGTGTGTAAGTGGAAAGTGTCCCCAATTAGTGCGAAAGCACTAGAATGACTAGGCACTTAAATAAAGAGATCTATTTTTTAAATTTTTTGTTCTTGAATAGGAAATTTGCATGATCACCACATTGTCATATGACTACCAAATGAAAATGTTTTTTAAATTTCCTTTTCTCATTCAAATTTGTATTGCCGCACGAGAATAGTAAGGCAATACTTAAGGCTCTTTGCAGAACTTGGTCATGTAATACAACATTTTGTGTATATGACCTGGCATAACGTATATTTAATGTATAAAATGTATATATTATTTTTTTGGAAACTCGAAATTTTACAAAGAATGGCTGGCTGGAATGCAAGCTCAAAAAATAAAAAATGTCCTTTCTGATACATAACATAACGTTCAAACTTGGCTATAGCACCTATAGTACTAATATTTTGAGGTGCTTTTTCTGATTATGTTGATCATTTTTTAAATCAAAGCTTGTTTATTGATCACGTTGCAAATCGTACCATTTGACCAATTCCTATTAGACAAAAGGAAGTTTGCAAGGGATTCTAGTAGTCATTGTTAATGACGCATTAATGCAAGCGTCCTTGAGAACTGATCCTTAACTACTGTTATCCTCTTGACCAAGGTGTATTCTGTAAATGAGTATCAGAATTTTGTCAGAGGCACAATTTTGCAACCTTTGCCAAAATGTTATCTAGTTACATACTACATGTACATTCATTTAAGGAAARTATAGAAACATATATGTCAAATATCATTAATGAGATGTTTCATAATGTTATTTTTTTAATWTTTTTTTTTTGCACAGTCCAGAGCAGAGTGTGCTACTGAATTTCTCTTAGAATTAAATGCTGATGTTTCAGGAGACTTTATAGAAGAGGTACTTCAATCCATTTCTGTAATGTATATTAATGACAAGCCAGTTCATAGTTTAAGAATCGTTTCCAGTGTGCGTGCAATCTTATCCCGAATTTCTCACCTTTTGTTTTTAATTAAAAGGTTTAAACAAGAGAAGGTGAGAAATTTGGGATAAAATCACATTTGTGCACTGAAGATAATTCTTAAACTACAAACTGGTTCATTACTATTAAGAAGACCTTTGTCTTGAGTAAACATGATTATTGTAACAGACACCCAAGGTTCCAGAGAAAGTGTATGTGGTAACAAGTAAAGAATGCCATCCCAAAACCTGTGTTCTCCACTGTCCTATCAACACCAATTTCGGGATCATGCATTTTATTATTACCAGAGTCTATGCTAGGGTCATATTGTTTATAAGCATATACCAACTTGTGTACTTATTAAGAACACGCATGCTCATTGGCTAATTGGAGGTGAATATTGTACGATATTCACCTCTGAATCTCAGAACATTGAGTTGGCAACAAAATTGCATCTGCCGGCAATCGTTTTGCTATAGGAAATTAAAAARATGAAAGTAAATGCCATTCCTATCAATACTAAAAAGGCAACAAAGTATGGCCTAAAAGTTTTGCTAAAAGTTTTTTGTGAATTTGTCATGCAAACTAAAACTTTCTGTTTGTTTGTTTTTATTGAATTATTGTATATAAAAATCAGTTACTCTTTACACAAGTTGGTATATGCTAAAACAATTATTCACCTCGGGCTCAGTGAATACCGGTGAATATTTACCTCGCTGATCGAAGACTCGAGTCTCGGTAAATATTCCCCGATGTTCACTTCGCCTTCGGGAAAAATAATTGCTAACTATTATCTTCTAGTATGAATATATAATATGAATAAAGTGAATATTAAAGTGATAAATGATATTTTTTGTTTTCAGGCTCCTGAAAGACTCTTAGAAAATAACAAAGAATTCTTCAAATCATTTGCTGTTGTTATAGCAACACAACTCCATAGAAGGTAGAAAAGTGTAAAGTACCAATGATATTTTAACAAAAATKACTTTGCTAGATACTGTATAAGCCTTTATAAAAATGCGTAATCGGCAAATGCGATAGGCAAGGGGTAAAAAGCAGTAGGAGATCCAAGAATAGCTAGAATGACTTGTGTTTCTGCTTCTTATTCTCGTCAAGAACATGGACCTTAGTGTTGAAACTAATTCAATGTTGTTTGTAGTTGACGAAACCATTTCCATGTCGAAACATTGCCTATTGGCTTTGGCGATGACAATGTTTTTTGAAATAAGTGTATCTAATTTTTATGAAATTTGTTATTTTATTAACCATTTTGTTAGCTCATGTCTTATCTTGGACATCATTCTTTCCAGTGTCCTCTTGAAACTTGCAGAGGTTCTCTGGATGTATGATGTTCCCCTATTAGTGTGTAGATCATATGGATTTATTGGTTACATGAGGCTAGTTGTTCGAGAACACACAGGTATGTTGTTGATTGAGGGTTCATGATCATCCCATGGGAGTTGAATAACAAATACAATGACACCATTTAGGTGGTATATACAATGAAAGTCTGAAGGGAGGGGTCTCAATCCCAGTTCCCAGCTGAAAATTTGGCAAGATCTCAGTCCAGGTTATTGCCATATTGACTTGATAAGCCACTGACCAATACACCAAATCGAAATATGGCGACCAAATTTGAGTAACTATTCTACATTGACAAGGGACTGACTAGCCTCGTTTTCATGTCGAAACAAACAAATGATATGAATTGTTATATAGCTGGAATATTTTCCTCTAATGCTCTCACACTCGTTTATTGATTCATGGTCACATGACATCTAACAATAGAGCTGTTTCCTGTGAAGAGTTTCTGGGCTGACGACATTCAAAATCTATGACGTCAGAGGGTAACAGTTCACTGTTACACACCAATGTTTACTGACACCTTCGTTGTATATGTACAGCACATGATAGAAGGTGGCGTGACAATGTGCATGACGTATGATTGTTGACAGCTTCACTATCTGACTCGTAAAATGGAAGCATCTGTCAGTTATTGTGTTCAATAATGTAATAAGTGTTAAATAATACATTCTTGATTTCTAGTTGTAGAGTCACACCCTGACAGTGCTCATGAAGATCTTCGTCTGGACAGACCATTTAGGGGTTTGAAGGATTATGTGGATGGACTTGATTTTGATGCAATGAGCAAAGAGGTAGCAACCAGTTTGTCCCTCTTTTATGATTTAATAATTATAATCAAAGTTTCCTCATAAAGTCATAAAATACACTTTTATATTCAGTAACACAATCACCATGAGGTACATACATGGACCGTGACTATTCCTTTTGTTACAGATTGTTTTGTTACATGTGTATGGTCATAGATGTAGTGCACACCATATTTGATGTTTCTTTTTATCCCTACATATAGGAGCACACTCATGTTCCCTGTATAGCAATTCTTTTAAAATACCTTACAAAGTGGAAAATGGAGGTAAGTCAGCATTTTGAATATTAGATCTATAGAAGTTATTTACTGGCTGGGAGGTCGGGGGAAAACTGCGCCTGAGGTCCATTTTCAAGGCAGGGAGCGCAATATTTACCTTATCTGGACTGACTTTAGGATGAAATAACTTATTTATTCCCCCCCCCTCTCCACTTACTTTTCCAATTGTTTTGCAATTTTTTTTTGTTATTTTGCAATCTGTTATCCAATGCACTTGCATTCAGATGGCGTAAGCAGCCAAGATAGCAGACTGCAGTCAGAGATAGAAAATACCACCTTCTCGCGCAGCCAATCAAAATACACAATTTTTAGGAGGAGAAAGTGCTGTCTTTGTAATAACACCTACAAATGGTTAGATTTTTCAAGTGGCTTAGTCCCATCATGGCGGTCCCGTCTCTCTTCACTTTGTCATTACTAACCAATTTTGGAGGGATATTGAAGAACCACTGAGGATGTAAAGAGACCCTGCGGTAGTATGTGCTTACCATCCTTGGTTCCTACACCTTATACACACCACCCCTCATGTTTGTAAATTGCATAAAATGCAATCTGAAATTGATTCACGTATCACTGTAAAGCACCTTCGATTATAATTCATCCATATAGAAAGGGCGTTATTTAAATCATGAATAAAAGCCACATCATTGAAGAGTTATTATATACAAGTTTTCATAATTTCCTGAACTCATAGTTGTCATATGAGTAGTGTTGCTGGTTGGTTCTTCTAGGGTATTTCGGAGGGTTCTTTCATCCCCCCCTCCCCCCTCCCAAAAATTAACTTCTAAATTCAAATTAGATTTCAGTAAAGGAAGAGCCACTCTGCTTTAAAATCATGTTTACTGTTTTTCTTCTAGCATGATAATCTACCACCTCAAAACTATAAAGAAAAAGATTTATTCAAGAAAATGATCAGACAAGGTGAGGAAAAAGATCCATTCACATGTTTGCAAAATATGAAAAGAAAGAGCCAGGTAGAACCAGTAGACTTGAGGTCTTGGATTTGATTTCTAAAGAGTGTCTGACCCACTGATGTGTCTGCAAGTATGAGGGAAACAAACCATGCATTATTACAGTGTAGTTGTACAGTAGTGCAATAGCCTCTCATAAGTCTCTGGGGTCTTGGTCCTCTGCTTTATGTGAATAGAGTTCATTAATATGTCTCCCCCTTGATTTGAGGGTTTTTCTCCAGGTTCTCCAGTTTTCCTGACACTCTGCAAAACCTAACCTTTTAAATTCAATTCTAATCAGTTTTAGTTGTTCTAATGTTCTAACCTTGATCTACACGACCACATCAGCAACGCTGTAATATTTATTATCATGTTTAAATAAAAGCCATTATCATTTTATTATTATTTATTATTATTATTATTATTATTATTATTATTAGCCAATCAGAGGTTTTCTTTTGAGAATTACTTTCTTCATGTCAGTTTCTAAATTTACTCCCCCCCTCTACCAATATCAGACTTATATCCACTGATAAAGTATTTTCTGTGTAGGAATAAAAGTAAGACAACACGTGATTCCAGAGGAAGAGGACTCCTCTACCCCTCCCCCCCTCCCCAAATCAGACTTACATTCGCTGATGAAGTATTTTCTGTGTAGGAATACGAGTAAGACAACATGGGATTCCAGAGGAAGAGGAAAATTTTGATGAAGCAATCAAATCTGTTAACAAAGCATTTGTTCCAACAAAAGTGAGTCAGGTTAACACCAAATACTGTCAGATTGTCTGTTACATTAGAGTGGTATTTGTATGAGTAGATACATGTATGATAATGTAACAGGGGTTGATGCCAAATACTGTCAGATTGTCTGTTACATAAGAGTGGTATTTGTATGAGTAGATACATGTATGATAATGTAACAGGGGTTGATGCCAAATACTGTCAGATTGTCTGTTACATTAGAGTGGTATTTGTATAAGTAGATACATGTATGATACTGTAACAGAAAATCAGTGTTATGGTCAGAGAAATCATGCAAAATAATAGGAATCAATATCTTGTTTGGGCAGGTGGTACCATGTACTGTTTTCTGACTTTTTGTACCATACATACAGCATTTTCTCTTTTACATGAAAACCACTCCTGACTACTGTACTGTATGTTTCTTCTTAAAGTTCTTGTCTTAATTTTTGTTGCTTCTGCTTCGCTGAGTTGTAAGTAACTAAGTAGTCCAATCTTCGGAGAATACTCAGAGAGACAAATACAATTATATCATTATCGACGTTTTCATTTTCATTTTCATTATTGCTATCTCGCGTTCTGATTGGTTCATGGGAGCTCATTCTTTATGAGAGCACACAGCACGCTCCCGTACTTTCAGTTTCATCATTCACGCTATTGGTATTTTATAAAAGAAAAAAACTTGCTTGCTGTGCTGTATGGAGTTATAAAGCACTTGGCGATTGGCAGAGCACTCGAGAAGTGTCGAGAAGCACTCCGCTATGCATTGTGCTTCTCCTAACACTTCTCTTGTGTTCTGCCAATCCCAGCATGCTTTATAACTGCACACAGCACGTGCGCACATTTTCTATTTCTTCAGGCTTGCTCCTTGGTTGATTATAAGACACTGTTATGTAGATGTTGGCTGTTTTCATTGACCATATTGATACTTTCATAATCCACTCCTAGATTCCAAGTGAAGTGACTAAGATATTCCAAGAAGCGGACTGTTCTACCAAGATAATAGACTCAGTAAGTCTCTAGTCAGTTTATATTTTATAGTCATTTAAAAGAATGATGGTTTTTACCAGTTACCAAAGTTTTCATTGAGTGTTTAAAAAATAGGCCAAAGAAGATCATGAACTAGCCAAAGAGTTTTTAAACAATAGGAGAAAATCATGGTAGTTAATTAAGCCAGTTAAAACCTGTTTAAGGTAGCAATATTTGCATGTCATTGTGTGGTGTACCTTATACATGTAAAGACACCATAGGTAGGGTGGTAACTAAGATATCAGCAGAAACTTCTAAGGGACCGGTCCCTTATTAGTTTCTGATATCAGTAAGTTAAAGGTGCATGTATRCTTGTGGGTGTTACATACCAACATTAATTTTGGGTTTGCATTCTTACTGATCCTGGAGCTTAAAATACCTCAGTGTTTGTTTACTGCTGGCAAGATATATATGTTATTTACTGGCCAGGAGGTCCGATGGGCAAAACATTTTCTTGTCAAAGAGATCTTAATCAAGGACACAAGGCTGAGTCCATCTCCAAAGCTGAGCGTACAGTTTTTTCAATTCCCAACCCATCTCAGGATGTTAAATAACTTAACAAAGTTTCCGCCATTTAATTTTCCACTTATGTTGCAATTTGCCTTGTCGTTTAGCAATCCGTTATCCCATGCGAGCAAACCTGGATGACATAAGCAGCCAGGATACAAGATATAAAATGGATTTTTTAAGATACTCTGACCAGAAAAAATAAACTTTTCATTGAAATAATTTGTTTTTCAAATCAGAGTTCATCATTTTGGATATTAGCAAGAGCAGTAAAAGAATTTGTTGAAAATGAAGGACAAGGTAATGTGATGGTTATGATTCTCAGCCAATAGTAAAATGTGCACCAATATATTGACTACGTATCTGTGTAATGTTTATAGGAGCATTACCTCTACGTGGATCAATACCTGACATGACAGCTGATTCTAAAAGTTACATTTTTCTTCAAAACATGTGAGTTTTATTGGACAATATTCTTACACCTTATCCAAACTTATAACTGTAAAAAAGTTGGTGCCATGTGCGTGCCATTCCATGTTTTCCAGAATTTTGATTGGTAGATTTTCTCTCTCACGCAATGTGATTGGTTTGGAAGTGCCATGACCTTGGCGTGTCTGTATTTGTGCCTTGTTTTGGGCACTTGACTGGATGGAGAGTAAATTCTTGTTCAAGGTGTTTGGTCTGGTGAATTCCTTGTTGTGTCACAACAGTGCTTGTGCCATGAGCTTTTTCACAGTCATACGAAGCTTCTTCAAATCTGTGTCACACTAAATAGTACAATAGAGTACAGTGTGTTTCCTCTTTGCTATTTAGTACTCTGCAATGCCATTTATTTAATACATTTTTATGGATTAAGTGTGAGCACAAATGTCTGGCACAGAAATCTCTGGCCTTTGAATACCCTTGGCGTTGTTCTCTATAATATGTATGGAACTGCCGTCATGAAAGAGTAAGTTTTGTTGGTTGTCAATCAAGGTGTTTCCATAAAATTCCAATACCCACATGCCCTTGAAGACTTTGTGTTTTTCTAGCAATGTCATAGGCTTATCCAAATTCGATAAACAGGATGCATTGTGGTCTAGTTTGGGTAAAAACAACACCATATGAGGCCTATTGAAGAACAATGTTTGTACCCTAGCTATACCACAATGCACCATGTTCGCCATCTCAGAAAAGGTCTATGGAAACGCTTTAATTTACGTCCACCAAAACCCTATTTGGTTGCGATGAGCACATGCTTTGAGTTCTAAATCAAATCTACAATGTGCAAATTGTTCAAATTAAACAAACTTGTATGTTTACCATTGTGTCAGTTATCAAGAGCAAGCGAAGCAAGATGTGGCAGCTGTCACTCAAAGAGTCCACAGTATATTGTCATCAATAGGAAAGGTATTTAGTATACTGCTGCATAGAGCAAATAGGTTCTTATGACTGCCACTCTATACCCTAGAGTCCTGTCATTTTTACCGCGCAAGCTCGAAAAAAACGACAATTTATTTCAATTTGATGCATTAGCCATTCCAAGGTTGAGGAAAAACTGGATCGAATTGACATTGCAGTGCATTGTGGGACTGTCCTAAGGGACGTAATAGACACCATCTTGGAAAATTGCCCCCTAAAACAGTCCCACAATGCAGGCCCGTAGCTAGGGGGGGGGGGGGTGGGCAGGGGGGGCATTCCCCCCCCCCCCCCCCACGCGAGCTAAAGGTCCGCTTTTTAAGCAAGTGAGATTTTGGCTGGTATGATATTTTCACGTAAAACTAAGTAAAAAAAATCAATTTTACTTTAATAATTTATCTATACCTATGCGTCCTATGGGACTTTTAAAAAATAAAGTATATGGTTGGTCCACTTTTTGTTAATTAGCATCCCCCCCCCCTTAAACAAAAATCCTAGCTACGGGCCTGCAATGCACTGCAATGCCAACTCGACCCAGTTTTTTTCTCAACCTCGGAATGGCTTATTAAGGTATTTATTTAGTGTCTTTTCTTAGTCTGCAGACAGTATACCAGAAAATGAAATCAAGATATTTTGTAAGTAACAGGTTACACATTAACACGTGAATTATGTTTTTGTCAAAACTGGAGCTTAGAATTTTTTTTCGAGAAAAAGTTGCTAGACGAAACATAAGATTCACATTTGTAATAACCATCCAAGCACAGAAACACTTAAATACTTAGGTTATACATTGATTACAGGGAGTGTGTGTCCAGGGTGCTCTTGGATGTGGTCGGGCACCCTCTTCCTTATTGGGAGTTAATATGAACGTGCATGTGTTTTGGGAATCTCTKATACAATACTCGATTAAATCACTAATGAGAGCGATTAAGGACTATCTAAGATAAAGGAACTTTTTCCGTTCTACTTCTGAACATTCTAAATTCTCTGTACGTATATTTTGCTCATTTCGTATTATTTAATCAATATTTATTATGTATGTGTGTGTTATTTATAGCTGTAACTATAATTATTTTTTTCCTACGTATCTTATTGTTATTCAACTAGAGTTTGTATGAAATAGAATATTTATATCATCCCAAGGGCGGATCCAAGGGGGGGGAGGGCAAAGGGGGGCTTTTCAGCAAAACAAAACAAAAAACAAAAACAACTGAAGATTTGGATGTTTTTTTAAATTATTTTCCGTTTTGTTGACAGAAGAAACTCAATAAGCCCCCCTCCCTCCATCCCTAAAATTTTGGCTGGATCCGCCTTTGCATCCATATAATGATAAAACTTGGAATCCAAGATTTGAGTTCAACTTTTCCCATTTACAGGTAGAAATGCGTATTTCCTGCAAGTTGTTAGATGTAGATCTTTAGCAGAAGAGTACAACCCATCTACAGCGAACACCACTGAAATAGGTAACACAATATAATAAATATGGACCAGTGTATGCCAACTACCATGTCGTGGGTTCGATTCCTGGACTAGTTCTCCTTCCTCCACAAGAATCAACTTCTATTGTTGCTCAAAAGACTGCTCATCGGTGCAAAATAGATAGTTCGTTTAGGGATTTTGTAAATATAATTAAAGTTAGTTGATTTATTTTTTATCGTTAACATATGGTAATACTCTGTCTATGTTGTGTTCATAGGCTCCAACCTTGAAGACCCTGATAGTGATGTAGTCTTCTATGTTCTCATGAGAGCTGTTGATCAGTTTTACAGTCAATATCACAGATTTCCTGGTGAGTATCTTATCTCATCTATTATAATAATAATAAAGTGTTCGTGCTACTTATTCAACTCCTTGGAAACTCCTGCCTTTGGAAATTCATTTTCCAGAAAAGAAAGCTCTAAAACAAATATTCTATACCTGCTATTTTGAATCCGATTTCGTTTTCGTTTTCGTTTTCGTTTTCGTTTTCGTTTTCGATTTCGATTTCGATTTCGATTTCGATTTACTTTGAAAGTCCGTACAGTTGGTCAAACGGTAGTCTCGTACGCAGCCGCTATTAGTGTCGTCACGCTATTATTGTCGTCACGCTTTCAGTGTCGTCACGCTATTAGTGTCGTTACGTTGCGTGACGACACTAATAGCGGCTGCGTAGGAGACTAGTGAAACAGTTGCGCACAGCGTTGCCGAAGTAGAAACCACTAGTAGAAAACCACTTCTGCAACGATGCGCGTTAAAAACTGTACCGTGTAAACACGACTGGCAAAGTTGCTGGCATTGGCGTATTTCTTCAGCCAATTATTTTATTGTTCTTGTCGCTGTCAAAAAATGTGTTGCAATCATAGTTTTAGTGAAAAAAGTTTTGCTATTTATGCTATGCCCTCTAAGGTCTCGTTGCGCACACAATATTTCACCATGTGGCCTTGCCTTTGGCTTCCGTATAACCTTCTGTATACTTGAGTCAAATGCGACATCCATTAACCTCTTCCCTCTCCCTTTAAAGGCCCGTTTACAGGGGCGGTTTTTGCAGCGATTTGAGGTGCGATTTTTGCTTTTGGTAATACTGTAGTTAAGAATGGTAAAAGATTAACCTGTAGATTTGTATTCCGGGCACCAAGCTTACCTGGACAAATGTCTCCTTATAAGCATAAGACAAAATTTATTATAATTTCCAATAATCGTCGCAAAACTGATCGCATCTCAAATTGCCGGCCTCAAAAATGGAAATTAACATTATAATGGGGTTTGTTATCTTATTTCTTTCAGGTCATTTTGATGATCAGGTTGAAGCTGATGTTGTCAAGCTTAGAGTACGTTGTCTTTAGTGAATACTTATTTCAATAAAGTTACCAGAACGAGGCCACCAAGGTCTCTAGTGATAAATACCAACCAAGCGCTATTTTCTCTCTCTCATAACTTCTTTGATACTCAGTCAAATTTAACAAAATTTTCTGGAAATAGTTCTCATAAAGTGCTTTCTCAACTAGCATTGATAGTTTCTAGTAAAAAGGCCTCATTTTCTCTATCAGAAAAAAGGAATTGTGAAAGTCGTGTATGTTGACGTATGTCCACCATCTAATGACCACCTAACCTTGCCTTCGTTTGTTTCAGTCTTGTGTTAGTGCACTTTTACAAGAATGGACACTCGCTACCAACATTAAATCTGAATATATCCATGAAATGTAAGTCATCGTTCAACTTAGTCGACACGCATAAATATCGCGTAGAAAGGGTACTTAAGGGTACTCGTTGTACCCTTCGTTTTCTTAGTTGACGAATGACGTCGCATGACGTCATAGCCGCCATCTTGATCTTAAGTGTTTGTCCCCTCGGCATCCCGTAATTCAAGATGGCCGCCGTATCAGTAAAAAAGTCTATTGTCAATGAATTCTTTGTTATATCAAACAACATGGCCTCCCTGTCTCTTGTTATTTCTCTCCATTGGGAATGATTGAAACACATGTACAGGAGGGATTTTGGGAACCAAGGGTCATGGTGGTATATTTGTAGTGCATTCCCCTCTGAGCTTGTGGCCTCCCGCATAACAGGTCGGTGCCCAATTAACCTAGTGCCCAACCAACTTAGCCTACCTTGAGGAGCCTTTTCTTTTAAGTTTTACTAAGGTGTTTTGAAAACTTTGTTTCTTGATTTCTTGCCTTAGGTGTAGATATGGTGCATCTGAGATTCATCCTATTGCTGCTTTTATTGGAGGTAAGATTTGTCCATTCTTTTTTCATAGACTGCAAACCATATGTCCGTGAAATAGCAGAAAAATAAATAACACTATTTTGTACTAATTGGTTAGTACTATTTCACGGATGTATAAACGCGAAGCCAGAAGAGGTTTGCCTACAACTTGCCCTGTTTATTAGGTTTTATTATTATCTTATCAAAGTCTGCTGCTGTTTCTAGGGGCCGGTGCTCAGGAGGTAGTCAAGCTTATAACACGCCAGTTTGTACCTTTCAATAACACTTTTATTTACAACGGAATGACAGGCTCGTCTAAGACATTACAACTGTAATAGACAAAGATTACCAGTTGGTATTATACTCTTGGACTGTCAATGTACCTTGCAATAACACCTTTATTTACAACGGAACTTAACAAGTTCATCTCACAAAGACTGCTACCCCGGCACTAGTTTTTTGGTTGACGTAAGCCAAAGCTCCAGTCTGTTCTAGAGGCCGCAAAAACCGTGAACAACACTCATAAACCCGGCTTCAATATGAATCACTTCTCGTAGTCCTCTTYTGTAACATTTCCCCCCCTTTATTCTATGCTTTTCTTTTTCTATAATCTGTAAATAAACTTTTACATTTTAGGAAATTGCGATTYATGTACTTTAATTTGTTTTATTATTCTATAGTAAAATTGGTAGTTAGCGGCAAATATAGAGCGTAAATGTTCAATTCAGAGTTAACCCCTTACAGCACGTCGGATTGCAGCTCAATAAGCCTGAAGCGAGATGACGTTTTACCCCCGTCTCTAGACCATAATCCTTTTCACATTGCTTTTGTTCTTTAATTATGACTATTGTTCCTGTATTCTCTAAGGAATCAAAAATTTTAATATGAAAGAATTTTAAAAACTATYATGGTATAGAGTGGGGGGTAAAACGTCATCTCGCATCAGGCTTAATCGAAGGACATAACAATAGGTTCCAATTCTCATGAGATTGGAATTATTTTGTTATGTCCCCCAGACCGGGCTGCTTTGACGTCACAAGCAAGGGGTCTATATCGTTTCCTATCTTAGTTAGCATAATAGCAACGTCTACATATCAAATGCGCCGTATGGCGACTCGTAGATACTAATTGCGCTTTTCAGAGCGGTTTGGTCCTTTTTTTCTTTTGTTAAGTTTTAAAGCAAATCAGGGAGGTGGGAATAGTAGGAGAAAATCCCGTTTTTGCGCGCAAGTTTGTCGTCAGATGTTGCAATTTGATTTTCTTTTAATGATATGATTTTTTTGATAATTTTTGCACAGTGATTTCGCCCTATAGGCACAGTGATTTGAAACAAGTAGAGTAGACCAATCACAATCACAAATGTTTTGGTCATATTATTATATTTCTAAAACAGCTGTTATCGCCATAATATATGCAAGACCAGCTTTCAGAATACTAATGAGTAATCCTTCTTCAGCTGCTCATAGCTATGGCGGTTTTGCTCGCACTGTACCGGTTTCTCCCTCCTACCACTTTCCATACATCGGTTCACTACTCCACAAAGCACCGAAACGAGGCTGCAAGGTCGGTTGTTTCAAAGGATTATTCAAGCTTGTCCTTTGATGCAAGGCTTACAAAATGTTTTTATACATTTTGTAAGCCTTGCATCGAAAGACATGCCGAGCTGATCGAGGAAGTCAACGTCTTCAAGTGTCCTCAGTGTAACTCACTAACTCCTCTGCCAGAGCTAAACAGCGTGGAAGATCTAAAACCAAGTCTTTTACATTCAAGAATCCTGAAGGGACTGGCCTTAGCAGAAGGTAGAAAGGTTTGTTCTGTTTCTGAGAAACGCCTTGATTGACGTCCACCAAAATCTACTTCTTCGCTACAGAAACAATCGCTAGAGGGCGCGTGTGATTGAGAATGGCTGTAAGAGGTTTGATAGTAATAATAAAATTGCGGCAAAGTTTCGATGCTGACGAAGATATTAATTTTTGAATCTAAGTATTTTTTGTGGAATTTGGTTTGAATTGAACTACGCAACGCTCCCTATTATGGACTGTGCCTTTCAATTTCTGCTTTGTTTTGTTCTTCTTTCTTGATTTTTCGCTGGAAAGATAAAGGGTCTGGGTAAAAGGGAATGTGAGAATGATGTCACGGTGGATTTGACTTCGTATCACTGTGAAACGATACGATATATTTTGATCCAATCACAGCGCGAGAAATTATTGATACTATCATCTGCGTTCCTTTGCGTGACACGGATTCTTAAAAATACTGAAAGTGAAGTCACGTGAATTTCCAAGAAAGACAGAAAAGCCGGAAGTAGTTAACTCCTATCAACATGGAATCGTTTCTTACTGATCTCAAGAAGCAAGTTCAATGTTCTTTGTGTTACGATACCCTTTGTGAACCCAAGATTTTAAAATGTTTTCATACTTTTTGTAAGCCTTGTATTAAAAGACACGCCGAGCTGATCGAGGAAGTCAACGTCTTCAAGTGTCCTCAGTGTAACTCACAAACTCCTCTGCCAGAACTAAACAGCGTAGAGGATCTAAAACCAAGTCTTTTACATTCAAGAATCCTGAAGGGACTGGCCTTAGCAGAAGGTAGAAAGGTTTGTTCTGTTTCCGAGAGCCATTCTCCAGCATCTTGGTATTGTTTTGATTGTGATCACTCACTGTGTCAAGAATGTCGAAATTACCATTCCTTCTTCATGAAAGACCACAAGGTCGTCTGCCTGGCGGATTTGAAGAAAGAAGATTTTGAACTGATAATAACGAGAGAGAATCAATGTAAAGCTCACCCTGATCAGAGGTTAGAGTTCTTCTGCGAAGAATGTGATGCTTTGATTTGCCTGGCTTGCTGGAAACACGATCACACAGATCATAAACTACTAAAGTTAGATAAGTTTATCTTATTGAAGAAGAACGTGTTGGCTAAGCAACTGGAAGTACTAGACAAGTTCAGAATCGACGAGAGGCACAAAAAAGAACAGGAAGAGATTGCGAAGACCATGAAACAAGATGGAGAACGAGCCAAAAAAGAAGTGAAAGAAAATACAAAGAAAATGATCGAAACTTTACAAGAAAACGAACAAAAACTGCTGAAACAAATCGACAAGAAATTGGACATAGCCACAACAAACTTGAACATAATTCATCACACTCCAGCAGTCAAGGAATACATTAATAGGATGATGGAAAAAGGGCTGGCAAGTGAAATGATGAATATACAAGAAACAGAATGCTCTGAGGATTTTGTGTTCTCCCCGCTACCACATTCAAGGTTTGTCTTTGTTCCAAACGAAGTGTTAGTTCAAAAGGTGAATACGGGGGTTGGAGAAATACAATCTTTATCATACTCTAAAACAGATCATACGATGAGCACTATCCAAGTGGAGTCTGAGCCAGAAGCTTTAAGACAAGGAAAGCTGATATTGATAACCAAAAGCAGTGAAGGCAAGCTAAATTATGATCCATTTGATGTTATAGACGTTAAAATCAGCCCTGAAGATGATGTGGTAACGAAAAAGAAATYTGTATCCACTGTTGGTAAAATAGAAGTGGAGTTCATGGCTAAAGTAGCTGGTCAACTGACAGCAGAGGTTCAAGTGAATGGGAATCATGTATCTAACAGTCCTCTAGTGATGAATGTACAGCCACAGAAGATGACAATAACGAGGCAGTTTAAGATGAAAGGATTAAATACACTACCCAAACAAGTGAATGGTGTGGCAGTAAATAAAGAAAAAAATAGAATCGCTGTTGCAGATGAGTTTGCGCACTGTGTGTATGTGTTCAACACTGATGGAGATATCTTACTCACGTATGGTGGACATGGTAGTGGTGAGGAACGGCTAGATCATCCTGAAGGTTTAGCATTTCTGAATGATACAGATTTAGTCATAGCAGACCGTTGGAACAACAGAATATGTATAGTAGACACTAAAACAGGGGCATTGATCAAAGTCTTTGGTAACGAAGGCAACGGGGTTGGAGAGTTTAGTTTTCCACATGGAGTCCAGGTTGATGACGATGGTAACATCATCGTGTGTGATACTGGGAATCATCGTGTTCAGGTGTTCACAAAAGACGGTGACTATMAATATCAGTTTGGTTTGACACAAGAGGACAAGTTTTGTCCTATCAGTACAGTAACACACGGTGGACGGTTTTACGTCAGTGATTTGGATAACTACGTCATTCGTGTGTTTGAGAAGAAAGATGACGTACCAACTAGAGTGTTGACGATTTTTGGTAAAAGCRGTGCAGATGGTCAGCTCTATGGATCATGGGGGCTGGCTATTGATAATGACCATCATCTGCTGGTCTGTATTGACGGAAATAACTGCATTGAAAAACTCACGTTAGATGGTCGTTTTATTGGGAGGACTTGTGAAGTAATCAAAAGTCCTGTCTGTTTGGCAGTTATGAATGATGGTCAGTTATTGGTGACTTTACACGAGGACGGAGTGTACTTTGTGGAGTAGAAGCGAAGAACAATGTCATCTGATTCATTCATTGATTTTCGATTTTGAGATATGGGCGATCATGATGCGCGTTTTGGCGCGAAAGTTTCCGCTAACTAATGATTTAGTATATGATTTAGTATATGACACGCGATTTTCTTAAAAGTCATGCCGGATCTTCCCCAACTGCATTAGATTGGTTCACTTCCTATCGTAATAGAACGTGCCAGCGGGCACCCTACGTATTTTTGTGGAATTTGGATTGAACTCCTTTCCGTGTGGGATGCATTTAGTAGAACTAAACGGAAAGTGTATCAGTAAATTTTATCTGCTATGGAAACATGATTTTGGGATTTCTAATTTTTGTAATTTTTGATTCATTAAAAAAGTACCATACTTTCAGACATCGAGTGCTGAACCGTCGCATGGCAGCGCGAAACATTTATGACTACGCCGGATATTTCGGCCCCGACATAGTCTCCCTCGCATCCGTTTTTAGTGTCGGTCGTCACGCAACGTGACGACCGACACTAAAAACGGATGCGAGGGAGACTAGCCCCGACACCGCTATCCGAAGATTTAAGCCCCGTCCACACGAGCAAGTTTTATGTGGCGATTTTTATATGCTCGTGTAGATGACGAAAATTGCGCGTTTTTTATGTAACAACTATAGTTCTTGGAAAGCTGGCGTCCTAGTTTTTATGTGACAACTTTTATTTGCTCGTGTAGACGATCAAAACTGGCCAATTTTTGTGGCAATTGTGTTTGCTGGAAAGCTGGCATGTCAGTTTTTATGTGGGAAATTGTCCGTGTGGACGAAACTACACTTAATTTGGCAATTATTTTGACGTCATCTRCGAATTTAATTAAACATGGCGGCTTCAAGAGAGAGAAAAAACATGACACTATTAAAAAAAAAAGAAAAGAAAAGAAAAGAAAAAAACGACGAGAATAAAAAAACGGGAAAATAAACTTGAAACTACTGACCGGAAAAAGTTTTGAAAGCCATCACGGTCTGTTTTCCATCTACTCTTACTAGATTATCAGCAAATCCTTAAGCCTCTCTACGTAATTGGGTTTTCCAGGGTTTTATCCAAATTTGTCTATGTATTTTTTTGGTCTTTTCTTTTTGATACATCATTAATAAAGTGGTTATTGCAGCAGCATTTCTAGCTCAATCTTTTCTTTATTGGCGCCATCTTGTTTTGTCCCCTAGCTTTTTTCATAGGCATCTCCGCTGTCCGAAATTATTACTGACGCAAATTGACGACAAATATTTGTCGATCGTCTACACCAGCAATCAAAAGTTGCCACCCACTACGTTGCAGTGCCACATAAAAATTGCTCGTTTAGACGGGACTTTACAGACTGATTAGGAAGGTCGGCCAAATCCTAAGGGAGAGGTTAGTCGGGCCCTAGACCGTAGAGGATCAACCCCTTGCTATGACTGAGCAAACTCAAATATCTTGAATGTGACGCTGATGGCTTTGAACGCATACCCACTCCGTTCCATGCGGGATGCGTTTATGACAACTAAAAAGAGAATTGCAATATAGTAAAATAGACCTGTTTAATGTATATTGTAAAGATGAGAGTATGTGGACCGCGTGGCACTAATGAAATAGTAGAAGATAATATAGGTAAGTTGTAGTGCTTGGGAACGAGGTTATTCCGGGCGAAAGCCCTTGGAATTAAATTCGGAAAAATTAATTTCCGACCTCGCTGGGATTCGAACCCACGACCTTCGGAATTGTACTACCGATGCTCTACCAGCTGAGCTAGAGGTCAGACTGAGAGCAGATCGGGGTGAAATAGATGTTAGGTCGCGGTAATTATGATGCAAAGATGAGAGCGTGGAGACGGAACGGACGAGCGAGAGACTGTACGTGGAAGAGTCTACGAGGTTGACTTCATACGGATCGATCTCGGATCTACCTATGAGAAGTTCGATTCCTTCTTAAACAGCTGAATGTACTGTTCCTTTTGTCTTGGTTCGGCTTCTTTAAATCTTTAATTATGATAAGTGGATGCCCCTTGGACGCTGAACCCTCGGAGTCTCTTTAAAAAAAAACCTGGATCCGTCCCTGGGGTCGTTTAGTTATTTCATCCATTTTCATTTAGTTTGTTTGTCTTCTTCTGATCATCAAATGTCTCTTATTAGTTAGTCTTGCCCTTTTTAAAGTCCATGGGACTGCGGGATTTGTAGTAAAAGTTTTAAAAATGGTTGTAGCCATCTCCCTTCGAAACGAGGAAATAATTAAGGTGTCTTATCTATCTACCTATTATAGGTGTCTTATCTATCTATCTACCTATTATAGGTGTCTTATCTATCTATCTA